GCCGATGGTGCGGTCATTAGTGTCTTCATGGGCACCACTCTTCCAGAACTCGTCAAAACCTACCATAACTACCCGTCTGCCAACGCCATTTGGCTCTACCTCGAAGACCGCTTCCTGAACAAGACTGCAGTGGGAGTTGCTATACTTATCCCCAGCATGTCCCAAGTTGCTATCCTCGACCACCATCGCTTGGGTCACCCCAACTTCCGTACGCTTGCCGACATCGCTTCCAAGAAACTTCTTTTTTGCCGCACCCTTCCTCCCCATCCGTCGCAGCTGCTCCGCTGGACCTAGTGCACATGGATGTCTGGGGCCCATCTCCAGTCGCATCCTGAGGCAGTCATCGGTACTTTCTTACACTAGTCGATGACCACTCGCGGTATGTTTCCGTGCACCTCCTGTATCCCAAGGTGGATGCACCTGACCTCATCATGGCATGGGTGCACCAGGCTCAAGTCACGTTCAGCACTCCTCTGAAGTGCCTCCATTCTGATGGCGGGGGAGAGTTTCGCAATGGCAAACTCGATAACTTCTACGCAGCCCAAGGGATTCGGCAAACCTTCATGCTCCGTGAAAGCCCACCGCAGAATGGCATTGCAGAGAGTTGCAACCACACTTTGGTTCAGATCGCTCGCTGCCTCCTCAGTCACGCCAACGCACCACGGTCACTCTGGGGATATGCCCTCTACCATGCGGCACTCCTCTACAATCTTTATCCGCATCCCCACCGGTCCGACACCACACCTACCACTCTCTGGCTTGGGGCCACGCCCTCCGCCCGCTCTCTACGCGTCTGGGGGTGTACTGCGTATGTGTTGCTCAACCCCCACACGCACAGGAAGCAAGGTGGCAAGCTTGTTCCCAAAACCCAGACCTGCATGTACCTGGGGCACAACTCCGACTCCCCAGACTCCTTATTCCTCAGCCCCATCACAAGACAGCTGATTCGCAGCCGTGATGTCGTCTTCGATGAGAAACTCCCTTTCCACCTCCCCCGACGCTTGTTTGGGCAGAATTCGATGCCCCACCTCCGGCAGCTGCCCCTTCTCCAAGGCCTTCTCCGTTTGGCGTGTCTCATCCAGCCTCCCTGGTATCCTCCGCAGCGACACCTCCTCCTGCTGCGCCTTCTCCACGCGTGGAGACCGGCTCACCAGTCACCTACCAGAGGCGCCCAGTCCCTCCTGTCCCACCGCAACCACCTTCGTCTCCGGTCTCTAGTCGCACTCGTTCCAAGGGACCGGCTCCGCCTCTCGCTTGGGGACCAGCCGCCTTCTCCATTCGGTGTTTGGTCACTTCGCCTCCTCCTGTTGGGGGTGATGTCCCCTCCATCAATGCTCCCCCCCATGCACTTCTGGAGGACAGGCATGAGGAGTTGTTTGACCTTAACGCGGTCTGCCAATTTCTCTCTCACATCTTCCCCAACATTACTGACTGCCCTTCCCTCAACTTCACCGAGAACCCGACCATTCCGACTCCTCGCACAAAAGAGGAAACTCTCTCGGGGCCTTATAAAGTGGAAGGCAGCTATGGATGTGGAGGTGTCGAGGCATTCATTCGCAACAACAGCTTTGACGATGTCGTTCCCCCTTCCGGTGTTAACATCGTCGGCGAAAAATGGATCTTCCGAGTCAAACAACTCCCAGGCAAAGCTCCACTGTTCAAGGCACGATACGTGGCGAAAGGTTTCACCAAGAAGGAGTATCTCAACGTCTTGAAACCTTCTCGCCCATGGCCAAGCTCCCGACTGTCTGCGCTCTTCTTGATATAGTCGCTCGCGGCAACTTTGAGATCAAGTCCATGAACGTCTCCTCCGCTTTTCTCCAAGGCCAGCTCAAGGAGGATGTTCACATGGAACGCCCACCGGGGTTTCCTGGCACTTACCCTGCCAACACAGTGTGGAAGCTGAAGCGCCCAGTGTATGGCCTCAAGCAGGCTCCTTGTGAGTGGCACAACAAGGTGAAGGAAGTCCTCCTCGCACTTGACTTCCATCCCTCCGCCTCAGATTCCAGTCTTTTTGTTCGTCACTCCTCCGAGCCCTTCTACATCCTCGTCTACGTCGACGACTTCATTCTAGTCGCCAGAGATCCAGTCGACATGGCAGCTGTCTAGTCTGCTCTTAGCTCCGCCCTTCTCATGAAGGATCTTGGTGACCTCAAGAACTACCTGGGGATGGAGATCATTCGTGACCGCCAGGCTTGCACGATCACCCACTTCTAGGAGTCCTACATCGACAACCTTCTCAAGCGGTTTGACATGGACTCCTGTAACTCTATCTCCACTCCACTCCCACTACAGCATCAACTTATGGCCCCTCTGATTCCTTCTCCTGACACCTGCAAGGACCCATACCCTGAGCTTGTCGGTTCACTCATGTATGCCATGATGTGCACTCGACCAGACTTGGTTTATTCGGTTAGTGTCCTCTCTTGGTACGTCTCCCCCTGATGCTACACTGCCTCGCATTGGTCTGCAGCCAAGAGGGTCCTCCGCTATCTACAAGCCACCAGGTCTTACATCCTCACTCTTGGTGGTACCTCTCCAGTCAAGCTCGAGGGATACACAGACCCCTCATGGGCCGATGACCAGACTGATAGATGCTCCTCCCAAGGTTACTGCTTCACCCTTGGTAGCAGAGTCATCAGCTGGCGTTCCACTTGGTGCTCTGCAGTCTTCTGTCGTCCTGCGAGGACGAGCTCTACGCAGGCACAATGGTTGCTCAAGAGGCACGCTGGCTCTCCATTCTCCTCGCTGAGTTAGGCTACCCCCAGCAATCGCCCACCCTGTAGTGTGACAACCAGAGCGTGATTCACCTCACCAAGGATCCTGTGTTCCACTCTCGCACCAAGCACATCGAACTTCGTCATTTCTTCATCCGAGAACTTGTTCAGGGTGACCAACTGACAGTACGGTACATCGCTACAGATTGCAACTTTGCCGACCTCTTTACCAAGGCTCTCAGCAAGGCTGACCACCATCGCCTTCTTCATTCCATGGGGCTATGTGCCCTTTGACCGGGTTTGCAGTCTATGGGGGTGTGTTAGATATAGATTGTAAATCCCACTTTTGTATTTGTACTTTTATATCCTAGTTTAGGTTAGGAATGTTCTAGTGGGTTGGGGTGTACTCACAAAATCCCAACCTCACCCAATTGTGATCCCCCCAATCTCCAATTACCCAATTCGAGATTGCGAAGATTTCAGTGGGGATTCCCTCCAATTCCCCCCTTCATCCATTCTCTCTCACCTTGCCATGTACTTGTAGAGCCTTCGGCTCCTTACCTAATCAATCCTTTCAACTCTATTTCTTACAACCTGGGCTTCAAAGAGGGAAGGCCCGCAAAAGCGAGGTCAAAGCTTAGAGGGGAGATGGCTGATGTCCAGATTGCGGGTGTCGAGTAAGACACGGTATCCCACAGTGATGGTGTGGTCATTGCGGTGGCGATCGGCCCGGTGCTTTTGGTGCTGCTGAATATCGATAAGGCGCTTGTGATTTCGATCCCAGAGCTGATGCATGGTGGTGATGAAATCATGTGCGGGCTGGACTGTGGGTGGTACCGTCAGTTTCTGTGGGGTAAGCGGGTTGCGTCTATAATAAAGAAAAAATGGTGTCTGTCCGGTAGCGGCGTAAGTGGCATCGTTGTAGGCAAACTCCAAGATGGGTAGGTGCAATTCGCATTTAGAGGTGCCGTCCTTGCATGCTGTGCAGAGGATTTGCTCTACAATTTGGTTGAGGCATTCAATTTGTCCGTGTGTCTGTGCATGGTATGCAAATGACATGCCGAGCTTGGTCCCGAGTAGAGACATCAGTTCTTTATAGAACTTGCTGGTGAACGTAGGATCTCGGTCGAAGATGAGTGTGGTTGGTATGCCTTGTTGGGAGATGATGTAGTGGAGGAAGAGCTGTGCTACACTATCTCCTAGGTGTGTGCTATCGTATGTGTCGGGATGACATGTCCAATTTTGGAGAATTTGTGGATGGCGACAAGGATTGCATTATATCCGTTAGTGGAAGTGGGTAACCCGATTATGAAGTCCAAGCCAACCACCTGCCATGGTTGTTCTGGGACAGGAAGAGGTTGTAGTAGTCGTGCTTTCTTCTGCTTACTGCTCTTCATCCGCTAACATGTGTCGTACGAGGTGACCGACGTATAGGACATCGTGGTATTTTCGGAGTAGTAATTGACGCAAATGTGGGTAGTTGGGTACCCATATTTTGGTGGATCCTTTCCGGTCACAAGGTCGCTGCCCCACTGGAGTATGTGTCGCTTCTCTGCCAAGGGAATCTCGGGGTTGATGGTGTAACCGTGTGTGAAGAGTGCCTTGAGAAATGGATTATTCCTTCGACCTGGAGAGCGGCAACGTGTGCAGGTCGGCTGAAAGCTTCTGCTTTGTTTTTGTGCCCGGGTTCGTACACAATGTCGTAGTGGAAGTGCGTCTTGAGGAAGTCAATCCACCGTACCTGTCGCCTGGAGAGGTTTGGTTGTGTATTCAAATATTTCAGGCTGCAGTTATCAGTCTAAACGGTCGTTCTTCGTCCTTTGAGATAGCATCTCCATGTCTTGAAGGTGATGGCAATATCAAGTGTCTCCTTGTCGTGTATTGGGTAATTCAATTTTGACACTTGTAATTATTTACTGAGGTAGGCGATTGGTTGCAGTCCTTTCCCTTGGTCTTGCATTAAGACTGCTCTTACGGCCTGGTCACTAGCGGCAACTTCGATGACGTAGTCGCATTCCGGATCAGACAAGATGAGCACTGGTGTGGATGTGAGTGCCTGCTTCAGCTGCTCCACAGCTTCTTGATGTTTTGGTTCCCATTGGTAGGGCGTGTTCTTCTTTAGCAGATTCGTCAGTGGTGTGACAATTTTTGCATACTGTGGCACGAACCTGTTGTAATAGTTGGCGAAGCCTAGGAACTGCTATAACTCCTTCACGTTCTCGGGTGTCTTCCACGTGCATACGACTTCTATCTTCTTTGGGTCAACTTGGACCCCTTCAGCACTCACTATTTGTCCTAGGAGTTGGACCTACTTGAGGAAGAATTCGCTCTTGGATAAGTTGATGTAGAAGCGTTCTCGTCGAAGTTTTTTTAAGACACATCGCAGATGTTCAACGTGCTGCTTCATATCGTGCAAGTAAATGAGAATATTGTCTAGTAGTGGGCATAAAATATGGTTTATTTCGGCTTGGAAGGTTGACAGGGCGTTGGTGAGTCCGAATGGCATTACCAGATATTCGTACGATCCGTAACGAGTTCGGAAGGCAGCTTGGTAGATGGAGTTGTCCGCCATGCGTATCTGCCAGTATCCGAACTGCAAATCCAGTTTGGAGAATACCGTGGCTCCCTAAAGCTCCGTGGCTCCTAGAACCTGGTCAAGCAGATCATCGATACGTGGAATCGGGTATTTTGTTTTTTATTATCTGCTTGTAGAGTGCTCGACAATCGATGCACATGCGCAGGCTTTCGTCCGGTTTCGGTGTGAAGTCTAGTGGGGCACCGTACGGTAAGGTAGATGGTCAGATGAGTATTTTTTCGAGGAGATTCTCGATCTGTTTCTTCATATCGGCTAGCTCTATAGGGTTGAGTCGGTATGGTGCTCGGAAGGTCGGCTTTGAACCTAGTTTTTCCATGATCTCGTGTTGGTGCGTTTGGTATGGCGGTGGGTGGTTTTGGAGGTCGTCGGAAAGAATGTCTCGGAACTCTTTCAGTAATTCCATGGTATTTTCTGGAGGTTCTGAGGTTTTATTTCTGCCAACTTCTGCATCTGTTGCTATTGCCAGGAACCCCGTGTCTGTTCATTTCACGTCCTTCTTGAATCGGGCGAGTGTCTCCACTGGGATATCTCCGGTGTCGTCCCAGTTTGGTAGTTGGACTTTCCTTCCCTTGTTGTAGATGCTCGCTTTGCGGTTGACCCAGTTGATCTCGGGGTTGAACTTTTTAAGGAAATCTCGCCCAAAGATCAAGTCAAACCCTTTTATATTGGTGATGGAGAGGGCAGGTCTTCAACGCAGAGGTCCGATTTGTACACTGAGGGAAAAAACCGTCCGGATGTTTGGCAATAAGTTGGGTTTTTAGGCTTTGAGACTACTGTATGGTAAACCTGCAAGATGCACGGTGGTACATGTTGGGAGAGGCACAAAGTGGATGCGTTCACAGCACTAAGAACTAGAATAGTACATTGGATCTAACTCATACTCCAAAAGATATACAACGAGTACATCCGGACAGTTTTTTCCCAGGACAAAGAGCAAACTTCCGAACAACGTTTCTAGTACCTAGTCCACCTACTCTTGGCGTTGATCACCATCCACACCCTCCTAGGCATGTTATCTATGTGGTTAGTGCAGACCTTTGCATGAAGCTTCTTGCACTCTTCCTTGACCCACCATTTTGCATAAGGGGGTGAGCACAAGGAAAATTGCGAAGTATTTGAGCGTATGCATAAGTATTGTGCACGAATTCAGATTGAATGTAATCTCTGAGACTAGCCAAGCCGAGGGGTGTCCAAAGATGCCATTACTTGAATGGTCCCGGCTTATCATGGGTTGTTTTCGTCGAATCAGAGTAGGGTGAAATCACGTATAGAGTGGCAAAATCTAGCATACCCGCCACGAAACTTAGGGTAACCGAGCACGGTCGATTGAGCATCCTTTCATTGTTAGAATCATGTTAAAATCCGCGAGTCTAGTGACAGTGCATCAGTTGAAGAAGTCTCGACTGTTTGGGAAGAATATCAGGGTTGAGGTCTGGTGAGGAAGAGGGGCACTCCAGAGCTACATATCCATGCTCTCCGAGCCATTCCAAGCCTAGGCAGGGAAAATGACATGGAATGCCTTGGAGAGCATAAGTATGTTGCGCTGGAGTGACCCTTTTTCTCACCAGACCTCAATCCAGATATTCTTCCCAAACAGTCGAGGTTTCTTCGACTGCTGCCCCGTCACTAGACCCGCGGATTTTAACATGGTTCACACAGTGAAAGGATGTTCAGTCGACCGTGCTCTGTTACCCTAAGATTCGTGGCGGGAATGCTAGATTTTGCCACTCTATTCGTGATTTTACCCTAGAACGATACGACGAAGACGACCCATGATAAGCCGGGACCATTTAACTAATGGCATCTTTGGCCACCCCTCGGCTTGGCTAGTCTCTGAGATAACATTCATTCAGAATTTGTGTACAATACTTATGCATACGCTCAAATACTTTGCAATTTTCCTTGTGCTCACCCCCTTATGCAAAATGGTGGGTCCAGGAAGAGTGCGAGAAGCTTCATGCAAAGGTCTGCACTAACCCCATAGATAACATGCCTAGGAGGGTGCGGATGGTGATCAACGCCAAGAGTAGGTGGACTAGGTACTAGAAACGTTGTTCGGAAGTTTGCTCTTTGTCCTGGGAAAAAACTGTCCGGATGTACTCGTTGTATATCTTTTGGAATATGAGTTGGATCCAATGTACTATTCTAGTTCTTAGTGCTGTGAACGCATCCACTTTGTGCCTCTCCCAACGCGTACCACCATGCATCTTGCAGGTTTACCATACAGTAGTCTTAAAGCCTAAAAACCCAACTTCGTGCCAAACATCCGGACGGTTTTTTCCCTCAGTGTAGGTGTAACACTATTTCGCCGTAGACTGGTAACTTGCTGCCTTGTCGCATATGGTGTATGAGAAATCGCTATCCATAAGTGCTTGGAGGCATAGCCCTTTGTAGATGACCTTGAGCACGAGGGGTAGGCGTTGCTCGGAGTACCCAAAGATACTTTCATCAATACGATCATAGGGTGCATCTCAATATTCCGTACACACCTTTTCGTTGCTATATACTCCCGAGCTGGCAGTTGGCCAAGGCTGCGTGGAGAAAGGCTCTTCTCCATGACCCTGAGTTTCCTTGACGACTGTTCGTGTCGTCGATGCAGAAGTTGCTGAACTGGATGCATCCAAAGGAGTTCGGGGCTTTTGCAGCTTCCTATAGGCCCCCAGCTTCCTCTTGAGCTGCTTCAGCTCCACCGACATCTTCCCAGGGGAACGGGTACTCGGTTGTGGGCTGGTGTCGGGAGAGGACGTTGACTCCGTGGAAACGTCAGCTCCATTCCACACTCCTTAAAAATTTCCCCAAGTTCTCTGGTACTGGTACGATCTCCACAATTTATGCTTCTTTTGGAGTCCCTCCCAAAATTTCTCCAAGGCTCTAGCCCCTCAAGAATCATAATTTTTCATTAATTACAAGATAACTTTAATGAATCCCGATCATTTCTCGGGTCTTCCAGGAGTTTTCCCGTCCTAGTAGAATCATTTTTCGCAAAGTCAGATTTTTTCTCGGCAGCTGTCCTAGGCAAAGATCGGTCGTGGGGTTGTCATTTTCCCCCACGAAATTGATCCCCATACTTGCGATCCATCTGCGGCTGCCGGAGTTCCGATCGCTCGGATCGAACAGCTCAGGTGGGCGCGGCTTCGGAGCCTCGAGAAACTGTTGCGACTGCTGCGTCGGTGCCGTTATCGTTTTGTGCTACACGCTGGCGAGTCGAGTTACTCGCTCGAACTCATTTCACCAAGCTTCTCGGTCGGCTTGCATCTCCTCCTATAGGGCGGCGATGCGGGCGAAAAGCTGCTGGGTAACCTCGGCGTTGTCGAAGTTCACCATCCTGTTCAAAACACGCGCAGGGGGGTTAATAAAAAAAATGCAGAGCTGGTGCTTACCAGAATTGGCGCCGAATTAGTTGCCCCTGGTGGTTTTTCGAGGCAGGTTTTCCCGCTGCTGCTGCATAGCTGAGCGCAGCCAAGTGAGAAAAAGCTCTGATTACCAATTGTTACACGATCGAATCGGTCGAGAGAAAGTTGTACAATCAATCGATACAAGGCGCTTTTATACTTCCAAGGTACATCAGGTAACCACGTTTATCATATCCAAAGGGAATAGACCTTTCTAGAAATAGAATCACCCTGCGAATAGCCATGCGAGGCTTTTGTCTTTAAAGGATTACGATAGTATTACGCTAGATATAGCGCGCCAGTACATCCCGAGTCTGGTTGGTAATATAATTATAATAAGAGGAATAATGGAAGATGAGGAATAGGAAACCAAATGAGATGAGATAAAGATCAAATGAATCAGGAAAAAAAGGAGAATGAAATTGGTAAGAAATATAGAAACGAGAAAGAAGTGTAACGCTTGTACTCTCACACCCAGGGCCCATGGTCCCCCACCGCTGCTGTTGCTACTGCTGTGACGGCTGCGGCGGCTGCAGTGGGGGAGGTTGCTGAAGTGCTTAAGGCACCAGGGCTTGGGGGAGGGGCGCCGCAGCTGAGGCAGACGCACCCCTAGCCATGGGGCTCCTAGTGTCAGCAGACTCCCCCACGGGCCCAACTGAGGGGAGAGGGATGGCGTGGGAGACACCAGACTGGGCCGAGCGGGGTGGGAGGGGAGCAGCAAGGGGCGAGGAAGAGAGGTGAAGGAGGAACACGAGTGCCACGGTAAGGGAAACGAGCCTAGAAGGAGACAAAGTCATCAAACATAACGTCACGGGAACGAAAGAAGCGGTGCTGCACCGGGTGGTAGAACAACCAGTCAGGAGTATTGAGCGGGAACCCAAGGAAGACACAAGGGAGGGTGCAGGCCGAGAGCTTGTCCGCGCTGGTGTCGCAGACGTGAGTCAGGCAGGCCCAGACGTGGAACGAAGAAGCATCACCACATGACCCAGTGCTGAGGAGGGTAGAAGAAACTTGTGGTCGCAAGGAGCGAGACCACATGTTAAGCTGGTGAGCCGTGTACTGCACTGCGAACGGCCAAAGAAAATAGGGGGCACCGGCATGGACCATAGAGGTGTGGGCCACCTCCATGACCAGGCCGATGTGCCGCTCAGCTACCCCATTCTGCTGCGGCGAGTCTGGTAGGGTGAATGCTTGGGTGATGCCCTCGGCACGGCAGAACGCTCCAAGACGGCCAGAGGCGAATTCGCCACCACGGCCAAAGTGAAGGTGGAGCATGGGCAGGGAGTGCTGGGGTGCGGATGACTTGGAGCCACGGGAGGAGGGCGTCAAGCACGTCGGCCTTCCACTCCAACGGGAATAGCGTGGTGTAGCGCGAGAAGCTGTCAATGACCACCAAGAAGTAGCGCTCCCTGTGTGGCCCAAGGACCGGGGCAGGGCCCCAGACGTCCATGTGTAGGGTTTGGAGTGGAGCCCGGAAGAAACGAGGAGTGACGGGTGGCGCGCTGCCAGCCCTCGACGCAGGAGGTGCACGCGGGGGCTACCGAGGCAGGGAGGGTAGGGAGCGGCAAGGGGAGACCAGTGACCTGGCCGTGCTGTGCCATATGACGGGACGCGAGAGGGCGGGATGCACTAATCGGTGGTGCCACAGGAGTGCCGGGTGGGTGAGAGAGCGACAGGAACAGGACGTGGCTACCTGGGTGGACGCCGCTACCTTGGGGGAATCCGTGTGCAGTGTGAAGAGACCGGGCACTGCGTCACGGCTGCGTCCATACAGGTTGTAGACCGCGCGTGGCCAAGAAACGTGGTGGTGACACTGAGGTCCTGAATATGACCAACACCAACTAGGTTCCGGGCAAATGTGGGGATGTGCAAGCCGGTAAGGGAGCCGGACGAGATAGCTGGGCAGGGGAGGGCCGTGGTGCTGCAGGCGCCGACTGTGGCAGGCGAGTCTGCTAAGGAGACCGGTACCGGTGCCGGAGTAGTGTGAGAGCAGTGCTGTCTCGGAAGAAGCAGTGAGAGGCGCCATAGTTGAGTGTGAAGGAGAGGGCCGTCGCAGTGGGGGAACAAAAGGGGATGCAATATTTTACATAGCAGAGGAACTTGGACTACACACAGCAGCCTAGACTATACACAGCAGGATAATATGAGTTAGCAACACTATAATCATCAGAGTACATAGAAAACATGGCAATGCCAATATGAGCCATCTCCATCTCAAACAATGGGATGCCGCAGTGGAGCAGGACAAGGCAGTCAGATAGGGCTGGCACGAGCCCAAAGTGGCCACGGAATAGGTCGTCTAGGTGGCGAAAGCAGTGGGCGGCGGTGTGAACCTTGCGCCCACAGACCGTGCCGCGCAGGGGGCCGGTCTAGATCTGATACACACAGTGCACGGGACACCCAAAATCGATGCCCCCATAGCTCACGGAGGAGCCACACGAACCTCAGGGCACCGACTTCCTTAGGGCCCAACCACTATGGCCTGCACCACATCCAGCACTCTCAGAGCCCACCTGCCCCCACTACGCTGCTGTTGCTGCTGCGACCGCTGCTATTGTGGCGGCGGCTGCTGCTATTGCTGCTGCTACTGTTGCTTCCCCTCCTCCTCCGTTCCCTCCCCTCCTCCAGTGTCCAGGGCCTTGCCAGCACCCCCACCGCCCACCGGTGCTGATGCCCTAGGACCACGAGAGCGTCGCGAGCACCCAACAGAGCGGCCGGGTGCAGTGACCACCGTAGTAGTCTCAACGACAGAGGCAGAGGCAGCAGGGAAAGGGAGCTGGGGCGGAGGGCTCTCCTGAATGATAGGGGCCACCACAATACCGTAGGTCTCTATCTATATCATGGAGGTGGAGAAGAGGTCTATAGTGAGTTAGTGGGGTGCAATGCGAGGATGGCATCGCGCGTGGTGAGGAGGTAAAGAGTGATGTGAGTGGGCGGATGGTGCACTGCGAGCTGGGCCGCGTTGCAGGCCGTACGGTAACCGGCCTCAAGGGAGCGCAGGTGCGAGATGAGGTTCACGACCATGGGGAAAGAGGCCAGGTAGGGGAAGAGGAATGGGAGGAAGTGGCGATTGAGGGTGGCGGAGGACGAGGTCGTGTAGCGGGTGACGAGCGCGTCTCAGAGGGCCTGTGTTGTCTCCTCCAACTGAAAGTGGGAGTGCTCGTCGACCCGCAGGCACCGAGTCATGGCAACATGCGCGGCGACATTGCAAGACTCCCAGATGGAGAGGGCGGTTGGCAGCCGCGTACTCCGCACGCTGCGCCGACGTCGCCTCAGGGCCAAGGGGATCAGGGCGGGGTGGGGTGGGGTGGGGGTGGGGTCACCAGTTAGGTGGGCCACAAGTGACTCGCTCTCCATACGCTGGCTCATCAGCTGCCGACGTGAAGCAGACAGCCAGGCCGTAAAGCCGACGGCGCGGCCTTCGTCGTCCAGCCGAAGGACGAACACCGACGCCGACGGGGCCGCCATGTCAGCAGGAGCTCCAGACACCACACGTACCCGGATATGGGTGGTGTGGAAGTGGGCGGCGGACGGCAACGGATCCGACGGCTGCGGCGGCGATAGGGCGAGGGGCAGGTCCAGCAACAGATCCTGAATAGGGCTAGCGACGGCGCCGGAGGCAGGTGGTCTATGGTACTGGCAATTGCGGCACTGACAGTGGCGGTGCTTGTGGCGGCAGCGGCGGTGCTGGAGGCTGCGGCAGAAGCTGCGGTGACGCCGGCAGCTGTAGCTGCGGCTGTGGCGGCGATTGCTCTGGCGGCTGAGGCGGTGGTGGCGACCGCGGCGGCGGATGCTGCGGCGGCTGCACTTGTGGCTGCGACTGCGGGCGGCGGCAGCGACTACTCGGGGGGCTGTGGCGGCTGCACTGGCGGCTGCGCACGCGCACGAGTGGGCAAGCAGCTGGCGGGCAGCGGGCGAGCAGCGGGCGGCGAGCAGAGGGCGGTGCGCAACGGGCAGCAAGCAGCGGGCAGTGCAAGCAGCGGACAGCGCGAGCAGAGGGCAGCGGCCAGCGGCAGCAGGCAGTGGGAGCGCGCAGGCAGTGGCCAGTACGAAAGGCGGGCTAGGGCGACAGGCTAGGGCGACATGCTAGGGCGTCATGCTAGGGCGTCAGGCTAGGGCGTGAGGGGAGCGGGGAGTACCTAGGGCGGAAGCGCGGAGGCTAGGACCTAACCTAGCGATAATACCATGCCAAACTGAGAGACATGAATGAGTGTCACATGCAAGTCAAAGTTCATGTATTTCTGTTATCCCCTCTATATTTCGGTGTCCCTCTATATTTCTGTTTGAGTTGACTGAAAACTAGGACTGGTACTGATATAAGTAGTCCCAATGCTCGCTGAATCTGCATAAGTTGTAGGCTGAGATGGTACATAATTGTTACTGGACAAGGAATGGATGGACACGGTGGCGTAGAATTTAGCGGCGAGATCCATGGCGGCCTTGGTAAATTCATGCGGTAGCTATTGTGTTCACTCCAGTTAGTCGTTGAGAGCACATGTGATGTGCATGGTGGGGGGATGTTTATTTGTTTGTAGGAAAAAATAAGAACCTGATCATGCCCACTAGTCGTTACAGCGCGTACACCGGGCTGGTAACTGTCAAGGCAGCCCTTCGTGACAATTCCGCTTCCACCCACCCCAGCTCCGCCGGCAGCATCTGGAGGACCAGCACAGGCGAGGAGGAGCACACCTCAATTCAGCTCAATCCTCACTGGTTGTCACAACGAGAAACGCAGCTCGCATTTCACTCGCACCGACACATTCGCGCGGCCGCTGCAGCTGGCTGTGGCAGTACTCGCCTTGCTCGCGATGGCACACGATCGCGCATCGCGAAGGCTCCTCGCCTGCCGTTCGCGAGCATTCGCGGCGGCAGTCGTCGCGTTGGGGTCGTTTGCCGTCGCCTCGCTCGCGTCCGCTCCCCCGTCGATTCGCGGCGTCGCGCCTCAAGGCAAGTCCAGCGCGCTGCCAGGTCGCGACCGACGATGAGTGAATTAGCAGCGCGGGCCCTAATCTCATGGCCTTGTTAGGTGCAGCTCGCATCGCCACGGCACTGCGAGGGTCCGTGCAGCCCTCTGAGCGGCAGCGAGCGGAATGCCCGGCGAGGGCGATGAGCGGAGCGACGGCGCCTCAGCTGCCTCTGCTCGCCCATGCCGTCGCCGCCGTGATTCGATCCCCCCTTGTCGCTCGCCCTCATCTCTCCCCACTCCCCCCACCCCCCGCTTCCGCCCCCTCCCTCCCTCTCCACGTGTCCGTCTGCCCGCGTCGCATGCGCCCGCCTCGCGCGCGTCAGACTGGGCGCACTTCTCCGGCAGCACGGTGGCGTGTCGCGACGGGTCGCGGTGGATCGCAGCCAGCCGCGTGAACGACGACTTCTGCGATTGCGCTGATGGCACCGACGAGCCGGGTGGGTTGATGATGGCACCGACGAGCGGGGTGGGTTGATGATGGCGCGGACAAGCCGGGTGAGAGAGTTTGGGGTTTGGCGAGTGTTGAGGTACCAATGCGAGTGAGATGGATGGTGACTTGCTCGCACGAGTTTCCATCTCTCCCATCGCCTTCTCCCCCCCCCCCCACACGCTCCCTCTTCTTACCTAATCCCCCCCCTCTTTCCCCCCAACCCTTCCTCACCTCAGGCACGTCGGCCTGCGCCCTCGCGCGCTTCTACTGCCGCAATCGCGGGCACACGCCGCTCTCGCTCTTCTCCTCGCGAGTCAACGACGGCATCTGCGGTGAGCGCTGCTGCTGTTGCTGCTTGGTAGGTAGGCAGGACGCGGTCACTGTGATGGCAGGACGCGGTCACTGTGATGGCAGGACGCGGTCACTGTGATGGCATCATGGCAGGACGCGGTCACTGTGATGGCACGTGCAGCGAGTGGTGCAGCGGAGTGCTGTCATCCTATCATGTGTCTCTGCATGCTCGTGCCATACAAGGCCACTGCAAGGTGCGCTATGACTGTGTGCAGCGGTTCCACCTTGCCTTGTTGCCATCCCCTCCACCTCGAGCTCATCCCACTGCTTCCCGTGGTGGTGGGTGGGACCACGGAGTGCACAGCACCACCGCCGCCTTGCGCTCCACCCTCAAGGGTCCAACCGCCAACCAATCCCCCCTCCTCCCACCCCCTGTGCGCCCCTCCATGGCTGCCCCCTGTGCGCCCCTCCATGGCTGTAGACTGCTGCGACGGGTCGGACGAGTACGCCAGCGGGGCGGGCTGCAACGACACGTGCGTGCAGATGGGTGCGGAGGCGCGCAGCCAGCTGGCAGCTGACGTGGCGGCGGTGAGGGAGGGAGTGAAGCTGCGGGGCAAGGCGATAGTGGGGCACGTGGCGAACCGGGAGAAGTGGGAGCGCGAGGTGAAGGACATCGAGGAGCGCCGCGCAGAGCTGGTGGAGCAGGAGAAGGCGCTCAGAGGTGACCGGTCGTTGTTGTTGCCACGAGCTCTAGTGGTCGCAGGCAGGCATAGACCCGCGCTAGGGGTGATACGAGCTGCCCTTCATTGCCGTCCTCCCCCTCCCCGCCCCTCACCCAAATCCACCCCCCGTCCCTCCCCCCCCTCTTGTTTTCTCCCCTGCGCACTGCTGCCTTGTCCTCTCTCTTCACCACCATCGCCCGCCGCCGCCCACCTGTGTGCGGCGCAGCCCACATCCACTCCCTCGCTGCTTCAGCCGCCCTGCCCCCGTCGCTCCTCCTCCTCGCCCTGCTCGCCCTCCTCCTCTGCCACCGCCCCTTGCGCTCTCTGCTCCGCCGACCCCTCCTCGTCTGCCTGGCCTGCCTGCGCTGTGTCTGGCGCTCCCTGTGCCCATGCATGGCGGCCGCTCGCAGCACTCACAGCACCCCTGGGGGGCAGCAGCAGCATCACTCTGCGCGGCGGCGGTCAAAGCTGCTGCAGGGCCACTAGGGCACGCTTGGGTGCTTACCTACTGGCAGCAGCGCGCTGAGGAAACATTCTCATCAGACGAACGCCCTGCGCCCTGCACCCTGCAGCGCTGCTCCCTTTCTTCTCTCAGCCTGCTTCCCCTACAGCCACTGCTGCCTCTGCTGCTGACGTCACTGTCTCTCTCCTCATGTTATTGTCTCATAGAGGGATGAGGCCATTATGGGATAGGAGGTGGAGCTGGCCGCTACCGTCCCACTGTGGCGCTGCCGCTGTTAGCGTTGTAGAAGGGAAGGGAGTCACTGAGCCACGGTTGAGGGAGTCACTGAACCACGGTTGAGGGAGTCACTGAGCCACGGTTGAGGGAGTCACTGAGCCACGGTTGAGGGAGTCACTGAACCTCGTGTACCTCTCTCTGCTGGGAGATTCCCTTGTGTAGGACTTACAAAAGTCCGTGTTTGTGACCCACGTATATCGATCTCAGCCGAGTTGCATATGAACGATTTTCTGTGTAATGTGTTGAACCTTGTGCTTTCACCACTTCCCTCCTGCTTTTATCCAAGCGCTGCCGTACCCTCCCCTCATTCCCCTCCCCAGTCCACCACCCTGTATTCCCCATTTTGATAGCTGTCTCTTTGTTGCTCTCGCTGCTCTGGTTTCCTTCCGCTCTCCGCTATTTCTGTTTGATGCCTTGCGTTCTGCAGTCCGTCACCCATCCACCCCCATCCCACCGCCCATCCGTCCATGGTCCACCATATCTCAGCTGCCACACCCCACCTTGCCTGCTCTGCCGCTGTCCCCTGTCCCCTATCCCCTGTGCGAGCGTGCAGCGCGCAAGGAGGCGTTGGAGCAGCAGGAGGCGCGGGAGAAGGCGTGGCGGGCGCGGCTGGAGAGGGAGCAGCGCGCGCGAGATGCGCTGGTGGGCCAGGGGAGGGCGGGCAGGACAGGTGCAGGTGGGGGGGGTGGAGGGGATGGTGGTGGGGAGAGTGGCGCTGGTGAAGCAGAGGCAGTCGCAGCGCAGGCTGAGGCGCTCATGAACAGTGCTGCTGGTGCTGCTGGTGCTGCTGGTGCTGCTGGTGCTGCTGGTGCTGCTGGTGCTGCTGGTGCTGCTGGTGCTGATGGTGCTGCTGGTGCTGATGGTGCTGCTGGTGCTGATGGTGCTGCTGGTGCTGCTGGTGCTGCTGGTGCTGCTGGTGCTGCTGGTGCTGCTGGTGCTGATGGTGCTGCTGGTGCTGATGGTGCTGCTGGTGCTGATGGTGCTGCTGGTGCTGATGGTGCTGCTGGTGCTGATGGTGCTGCTGGTGCTGACAGCAGCAGTGGCGGTGTGGAGGGGGGTGTTGCACCTGGTGGTGATGGGGCGGGTGCAGGGAGTGAGGAGAGGGGGCAAAGGGAGGAGGGAGCAGAAAGGGGGGAGGGAGGAGCAGAGGAGGAGTTATCGGGTCTGTCGAAGGAGGAGATGGGCAGGCGGATTGCATCCAGATGGACGGGAGGGGGGGAGGGAGGCGAGCAGCACGAGGGCAGCGATGGAGGGCACGGCGGGCATGGTGTGAAGCACGGGGGAGAGCAGCATGGCGGGCACGGCATGGATGGCGAGGACAGCTCGCCCCATGATGTGGGCTATGCTGATCTGGACGCGGTGCATGATGACGATGATGGCGATGGCGATGGCGACCGTGACTACAGTGGCAGTGACGAGCACGAGTACAAGGAGGATGCTGATAACGAGGATGGGGACTATGATAAAGTGGACGAGGAGGACGGGGACAGGGATGACGATGTTGACGGTGAAGGGGGGGAGGAGGCAGCGGACTTGGAGCAAGCGATGGGGGGCGGGGGAGGGCAGGCGAACGAGGGCAAGAGAGGGGCAGGGGGGATGGAGAGGGGGCGGAGGAGGATGGGGAGGAGGGCGAGGTGAGCGAGGAGGAGTTGAGGCAGATGGAGGAGTTCAGCAAAGATGACCCGCCAGGTGGGATGACCCGCCAGGTGGGATGACCCGCCGCCAGGTGGGATGACCCGCCAGGTGGGATGACCCGCCAGGTGAGATGACCCGCCAGGTGAGATGATGACCCGCCAGGCGAGATGACCCGCCAGGTGAGATGACTCGCCAGGTGAGATGACCCGCCAGGTGAGATGACCCGCCAGGTGAGATGACCCGCCAGGTGAGATGACCTGCCAGGTGGGCTTGAGCAACTGAACCCGACTTTTTGACAGGTCGTGTTCAGGTTCTCGTAGGTAGAACCCGACCCGTCGGGTTTGATTTTTTCCCGACGGGTTGGGTCAACCCGAACCCGACATGCCCAGGTTCGGGTTCCACCCGATATGTCGGGTTGACCCGACCCGACGTCGGGTATTCGTCGTCGGGTTGACCCGACCCGACCCGACCCGATGTCGGGTCACGCCTTGACCCGACGCGATTTGTGCGACCAGCCACGGAGATCGCGAAATTTCGACCATAAGGTCGAAATTCCAACGAGAAAGTACATCGTACAGTTTCGACCTAGTCTATGGCTCCTTCCTATCTAGCAAACACGGTTTCCTAATGGTTAGTTTTCTAGTTTTAGCTGGTCCTTCTCTTCCTTAGGCAGAAACGGGAAATTGAGGGAAGGAACTTCATTTTCAAGGTGGAACGGGCCGCATTTCGTTGCTGTTTGAAATTTCACGCGTAGGACAGTAAGGGAGCGAATGTTTTAGTCTTTCGCAAGTAGGGTGGGTCCAGAATAGGTGGATCTCGCCCTCTGATACCTAGCGCACACTACCAAAGGCTAAGGATCGAGGTTTGCAGCGGTTAACCCATTACATAGTTTCGTTTTTGAGTTGGGCACTACCCCACACAGCAAACGCAGAAAATCCGCGGCTACATTTCGTAGTGCAGCCATCCACACCTTTTACCGAGTCGTTTTGCGCGCGAGTGGACATTGGGCCGATTAGGGTTGAGGGTTGAGGAGGCGATATGGACGGCGGTCTCAGCAACAGCGGCAGAGGGCGGACCGAGGGGGGAGAAGGCGGACCAGCGGGACACAGCACGGGAGCCGGGTCGCTGCATACGGGCGTTGAAAGTGCGGCGCTGCCCGGGATGTCCCTTGCTCTTGTGCCTGTCGCCGGTGCGCCTCAGAGCTTTGCCCTTGGCTCAGAGCTTTGCCCTTGGCTCAGAGCTTTGCCCTTGGCTCAGAGCTTTGCCCTTGGCTCAGAGCTTTGCCCTTGGCTCAGAGCTTTGCCCTTGGCTCAGAGCTTTGCCCTTGGCTCAGAGCTTTGCCCTTGGCTCAGAGCTTTGCCCTTGGCTCAGAGCTTTGCCCTTGGCTCAGAGCTTTGCCCTTGGCTCAGAGCTTTGCCCTTGGCTCAGAGCTTTGCCCTTGGCTCAGAGCTTTGCCCTTGGCTCAGAGCTTTGCCCTTGGCTCAGAGCTTTGCCCTTGGCTCAGAGCTTTGCCCTTGGCTCAGAGCTTTGCCCTTGGCTCAGAGCTTTGCCCTTGGCTCAGAGCTTTGCCCTTGGCTCAGAGCTTTGCCCTTGGCTCAGAGCTTTGCCCTTGGCTCCATCAACGCCGCCGGCAACGAGTGGGAAGGTGTGTGGCACCAGGAGTTCAGTATGGACGACGAGGGGTGGGAGAGGAACCGAATCCCGGAACCCACCGCAGGGGCGAAGGGCGGAAGGCGTGGCGAGGACACGGAATATGTCCCGGATGAGGAGCTAGAGGATGATGAGTCAGGGGATGATGGAGGGCGTGAGGGAAAGACGGGGAGGGGGAAGAAGAGTGGGAAGGGTTTAGGGGTGGGCGTGGGAGAGGGGCGGGCGTCGAGGGGAGGCGGCAGACGCACCAGCAGGCGCAGCAGAGGGGGAGGGCAGAGGGCAGCCGGGTGTGGTTGGGGGTGCTGAGGGGGGAGACGCCTTGAAGACGGGCGCTGCTGGGGGCTTGGACGGTGGAGATAGGGGTAGCCAGAGAGGCAATCGCGGCAAGAGTCGGGGAAGAGCGCGGGGTGGGTCTGAAGAGAATGGCGAGCGTGGTGAAGCAGTGAGCGGGGAGGGGACGGGAGGTAGGGCTCGGGGGCGAGGGGGGGAGGTTCCGCTGCGTGCTAGGGGTTGCGGAGGGGGAACTGCAGGGGCTGGTGGGGCGCGGAGCAAGCGCGCTAGAGGGGTGGTGGAGGAGGAGGAGGAGGAGGAGGAGGAGGAGGTGGAGGAGGTCGAGGAGGAAGGCACTGGGGCGAGGACTCCAGGCCTCATGCAGGGTATGTCGAGCGCCCTTCGGTAAGCCCTTGACTGCTTGGATTGGAGAGTTCCTAGTGCTTGCTGGCCTACACTTGTTGTGTTGTGGTCATTGTCTGCAACCCATCCAATGGCTCAATCATTGCTGTCCTCTCCGCCTTTCCATACCCATCCCACCCACAGTTCCATCGGTTCTGCTCGCTGCTGAACCCACAGGTTGCCGGCATGCTCGGCAGTCGTTTTCGACTGGCGCGGGACATGCTGACGCATGGGAATGCTGCACGCGAGTGGCTGCAGCAGGAGATGGCTGGAGACGGGGCAGCAGGGAAGGTTTCCTTCACAACTGACATATGGACCAGCCCCAGGCCTTCAAGATCCTGGCGGGCGACAAGACATACCCGAGGGCCCGCACCACCAATGCAGTCCTGCAGAAGAACATGCACTTCAGGTAATGCGCTAGAAAGAGAACTCCTTGCATACGCTTCCACTCTATCTGGTGCCTCTTACATGCGGGCTTGTGTCGTGCACATCTGAACTTGAGTGGACCCGTGATCGCTCGGCCCTTCGCCCCTCCTCCTACCCCCCCTCCGCCCCCCCCTGTCCCCCCCATTCCCACAGGTGCCTTGCGCACATCTTGAACCTGGCGGTTCAACGGGCACTAGCAGTGGGGGCGGTCACCGAGCCGCTGAAGCGTCCGAGGGACCACGCTACGCATGTTGGGTGGTCTGCTTCGAGGAGGACCAGCTCTGAGTTGCGGACAGCCCAAGCGTGGGGGTGCTGCGACTCATGACTGACACACCCACTCGTTGGGGCTCCACCTATGACATGCTGAGGCGTGCTATCGACCTCAAGACGGCCCTCATGGTGTACTTGTCGCGGCCGGAGGTAAGCATGGCATGGCGCATGGAATGGCATGGCACATGGCATGGCACATGACATGACGTGGCATGGCATGGCATGGCGCATGACATGGCATGGCGCATGACATGGCATGGCGCATGACATGGCATGGCGCATGACATGGCATGGCGCATGCCATGGCATGGCGCATGGCATGGCATGGCGCATGGCATGGCATGGCACATGGCATGGCACATGGCATGGCATGGCACATGGCATGGCGCATGGCATGGCACATGGCATGGCACATGGCATGGCATGGCGCATGGCATGGCGCATGGCATGGCATGGCATATGGCATGACACATGGCGCATGACATGGCATGGCGCATGCCATGGCATGGCGCATGGCATGGCATGGCGCATGGCATGGCATGGCACATGGCATGGCACATGGCATGGCATGGCGCATGGCATGGCGCATGGCATGGCGCATGGCATGGCGCATGGCATGGCATGGCATATGGCATGACACATGACATGACATGGCATGGCATGACACATGACGTGACATGGCATGGCATGACACATGACTTGACGTGGCATGGCATGACATGGCATGGCGCATGACATGGCATGGCACATGGCATGGCATAGCACATGGCACTTCATGGCGCATGGCATGGCATGGCACATGGCTCATGGCATGCCAAGAGGGCATGCCCTCACATCTCACTCCGTCCTTCCTCTCCTATTCCCCCCCCCCTGTCCCGTGTCCACCCCGCTAAACCCTCCAGCCCGGAAGCTCCTCGAAGAAGCAGCCAGACTCCCAGAGCAAGTACCACCCGAGGGACGACCACTGGGAGACCCTTGAGGAGGTAGCGGCTTTTCTGAAGCCGTTCAACTCCCTCACCACAGCAGCTGAGGGATTGCTGTATCCAACAGCCGCCGCGGTAGTCCCTCAGTTCCTCCTGCTCATCGACAACCTCGAGACGATGTACCACAGCAAGAAGACCACGCCTGTGATCAAAGACATGGCATGGGAGGCACTGGAGGTCCTGAAGAAGTATGAGTACGGGGTGGCGAAGGAGCTGGCAGTGGCCACCATGCTCGACCCCTGCTACAAACACTACTTCAGGCTTCTGCGGTGGGAGGCAGAGAACGAGCAACTGGCCACCGACACTGCAGGCACGGCCAGAGTGGTCCGAGTGCTGGACGAGGAGAGTGTGGCAAAGCTGGTTCGGAAGCGCTTCGGCAGGTACTTGGCTAAGCTGCATGGCGGTGGGGAGACAGAGGGGACGGAGGGGACCAGCAGAGCTACAGCGGTTCATGTCGAGTGTGGCCCGGGGGCGAGAGCGGCAGTTCGGTTTGGGGAGGGGGGGATGATCTTGTGGACGAGCTGTTCGCCAGTATGGACAAGCAGGCGTAGGCTTGAGCAAAATACCCGGCCGGGTCGGGTACCCGGGACCCGGATCCGCTTTTTGGGCGGGTCGGGTATCCGGATTCCGGATTATTACCTGGCGTGTCGGGTCTGGGTTACCCGGGCGGGTATTCGATACCCGTTACCCGAAACGTTACCCGACGTGTCGGGTAACGGGTACCCGACCCGATCCGGTAAATAATACCCGAGGTCGGGTATTCCTATTAGACATGGGCGTAAGTCGCGCTGTGATTTAGGTTTTGTGGCAAAACGGTTAGGGAGGTGAGGGGGGACGAGTGGAGCATTTTTGAGGAGAAGTTGGAGTTTGTAGATGGGGAGGAGTTAAGTACGGTGAAAGGGAGAGAGTTGGGTGAGGTTGGAGAAAAGGTTGGAGTTTGTAGATGGGTAGGGAGTTTGGTTGGAAATTGGAGTGTGTAGACGGGGAGGAGTTCAGTGCGGTGAAAGGGAGGGAGGGAGTTTGGTTGGAAATGTTGGAGTTTGTAGACAGGGA